GTGTGTGTGTGTGTGTGTGTGTGTGTGGTACTGGGGCTTAAACCCAGGGCCTTTACACTGAGCTACATCCCCAGCCTCTTTAATTTTCTTTTTTTTTTTTTTTTTTTAGTTTTGAGACAGGGTTTCCCTGTGTCACTCACGCTAGGCTCAAACTTGTGATGTTTTGGTCTCAGCCTCCCGGACTGCTGGGATTACAAGCTTGCCCCACCATGCCCAGCTTATATTTTCTCTTCTTAACTAATACAGTTTAAGGGAGAGTTTCTAAGCAGTGAATAAGGTACAGTGAAGTCCGAGTAAACCCTCTGAATTGGCATTAGAGTTCTCTCTGAGTTTGAGACTGGCCTGGGCAGCTAGTGACGCGGGTGCGGGCTGACTTGCCCTCTGAGCCCGGGTTTTCTTCCCAAAGGCTTCCTAGTCGGTGCCCGTTGTGCCCCCCACGAACAGCGCCCAGGAGCGTGGCTCAGTTAGACGGGGTTTCCCCAGCCTCCTCCGAGGGCTGCTGTGACAATCTAACCTTGCTGATAGCCAGGAGTCAAACCCCTTAGTATTTCCTTAAATAAAATTCAAAAACAAACCAGTCAGATGAAGGGCAGCCCCGCTTTCAAACTCCCAGCCCTGCCTCATTCCCCAGCCCTGGGCTGCTGAGATTCGGACTCGGTGCTTGGCCCCAGCCTGGGGTGGTGTGTGCGGAAAGGGGGTGAGCTGGGGCTCCCTGAGCTCAGCGGCCCCGGGAAGCGCGGCCCGAGCCTCCCAGCTGCTCCGGGTGCCTGCGCAGGTGTGCGGTGACTGCACTGCTTAGGCCTGGCACACACACCTCACACTTCAGTCCCGCTGTCTGTTTCGTTCCGTAGTCTCCGCGCACTCCCACTCTGCAGCCCCATCCGAATTTCTTTTCCTAACTTGCGGTAACGCGCTGGGTAACCTCAGACTCAGAGGGGCTCGGTTTCTTTGCCTGCAGAATGGGAGCGAGCATTAAACTAAACCTGAGGCTTCCGTCTTTTGTTAGGAGTGGGGGATCGCTTTTATTTAAAAGGTAAGGAGTAAAGGGAGGGAGCTGTGCGAAGAAGGAAAAATGAATGAATGAACTAGCAAAGGAAAAGTCTTGTAAGGAAGCCTGAAGTGTGAAGCAGGCCCGAGTGGAGCAGCTGTGCTCCAGCCAGGAATGAGGAGGCTGTCGCTGCCCTGTGCAGGTCACAGGCAGCGACACCTCCACGGGTGCAGCCACTGTCGCTGTGAGACTGTTGGTACATCCTGGCCACACTTGTCTTTCTTCTCTCCCTCGTCCACCTGAACTTTTGAATGGTAGAAAGTTGAGATAGCCCATCAGTCTATAGTGTGTTTGGGTGGTAAACCTGCAGCCGCTCACTTTCTGGTTTTTGGTACCAGGAATCAAACTCAGGAACTTGCATTTGCCAGGCAGGCACTTGTGCCACTGAGCTATATCCCGGGTCCCCTATGCTCACTTTCTAAGGTACCCTCAGCCCATTCTTGTTGGAATTCGTGATTGGGAAGGCTGAGCCGAGCAAGGGTTGGCCTCACCCCGCCTGTAATGACAGGTTTGCTCCTGGGGAAATCAGCGCCAGGGTTGATTGGTGCGGTTCTCAGGAACCACTCCAAAGCTTCCTAACAAAGCTATTGTTTTCTAGCCAGTGGGCTACTGATTACAAACAAGAACTTTTTAATTAAATGGGAGTCTTCTGAATTCTTTAGACATTCCATATGTGCTTTGCAATAATCCAGTGCATCTGGGGAATGGAAATTTATATAGATAAAACAAGATTGGCCACTTGATGACTGTGTAAGCTGAATAGTATGTATATGGGAGTTTAGAATTTTATTCTCTTTTGTAAATGTTTGAAGTTTTGCATTTGAAGCAATATTTGTTTGTGCTGGAGATCAAACTTAGGGCTTCACACGTTCTAAGCATGCATTCTGCCACTGAGCTCCAGCCCCAGCCCCTGAAATTTTACACTGTAGAAAGTTACCAGAGAGCTTGAAGTATAGCTCACTGGTAGATGAAGCATCTCTTTAGCCTGGTAGAGGCCCTGGTTTCAATCTCCAATGCTAAAAAAACAAAAACAAAAAATACCCACCCAGTAACAAAAAAGGCACGGAAGCGTTCAGAACTCAAACTCCGCCATGGTTCTTCCTTCTTCCAATGTACACAGTAGAGTTTGCCGTGTCACTAATGTGTATATCACATGCCAAAACTCATCCAGGTAGTCGCTGCTTACATTACTTAAGTTGGTTTCCTGTAGACGCCAGTATGTTTCTGTAATCACTCTCTACCAAGATGCCAGGATTTAATTTTGTAAATCCATTGCAGGCATCAGCTTCAGACTCAAGCAAAACTAGTTTTAGAGGAAAACAAGCTGTTGCTAGAGCAGCTGGAGATTCAGCAAAGGAAAGTGAAGGACACCCAGCAGGAGCATCTCCAAGAGGGTGAGTGACCTTGCTACTGTGTCCTTGAAACTGGGCAAGGTGGTGTTGCTCAGATCTTCTTGATCTGAAATGCAGCTGCTGGCTCCAGTTCCAGCCATTCACTCCCCTTGGTGCATAGATTGCTTTCTTCAGACTCCATGGAGCCTCCCAGCCCGCTTTGTGTTTTGTGAATCCGTCATAGAAACCATAGCAAAGCTGGTTTCAGGGTAAAATGGTGCTTTAGAAGTGGGAAAAGCTATGCAGGGTAAACCTTCAAAACAACACAGGGCTGTCTTCTCAAACATTTGTTTAAAGAGTAAGTAAAGCCATTTAGTGTGTACACAGTTTTTCTCTGCTTTTCCCTTCCATGGGGGCAGTGGGCATCATAGGATAAAGCTCTGGAGTTGGGTCGTCCTCGGAGACCTCTGAGTGTCCCCTGTTCCCATGAGCCCTCCCTGGGCCTAGGAGCGCCACGGCATTTGACAGTGGACTTCCAAGTCAGCCAAGTTAAAGTTCATTTCTTTTGCCTTGATTGAAACCCAATTTATGAGAAAAAAAAAATTGTCACTTTCCCCTTTCACTGATTTTTCCAGTGAAAATAACATACGAGAGGAATCTGAAGTGTAAGCTGTCTTGCACGGGCCGCTGTAACCGCCGCCCTGACTGCCCTCCTACGCCTGCGCACTTAGTGAGCCCCTTCGATACTGCTCAAGAGCTCACTGTCAGGCTCTGCTAGCGTCAAAGCTGCTGCACTGATGATAACTGGGCTGAGTTAAGGAGGAGCACTGCATGATTTTTTTTTTTAAATGTAGGACATAAAACAAAAACTTAGGTGAAGAAAGAAAAAATAATAAATTCTATTATTAGGGCATATTTGATGTCCTTAAAAATCTTGAAAATCTCGCTGTACTAGGTACAATAGCTTGATATACATCTAGTACATCTGTGTGTGATTGAAGACTTGGGAAAGCCAGTTCCTTGAGGACTGGACTCGCGTCCTGTTAAGTACTGTCGTGAGCCCTGGTAGAATATTGTAGCATCCACAGGGAGAGGTTCCAGGCGCGCACACAGGGTGGATGCCGACATCTGTCAGAGGCTCGAGTCCCTGTGTGCAGTGTGTCCTCTTCACACACAGCCTTCTGCCCACTTTACATCCTCTCCAGATTCCTTCTGATCTGATACGGCATGATTGCTGCGTTGGCAGTGGTTGCACTATGCTCTGTGCAGTATGGTGACAGGGAAGGAGATCTGTCTACGTTAGTATAAATGCAGTTTGCTTTCCCTAGATACTGTCCTGACATGTGTGGCTGAATCCACTGATGTAGAACCCACAGATGCAGAGGGCTTATTGGATATTTAGTGAATACTGAGTAGAGGAAGAGCCATTTCTATTAGAAGGCTTGGTATTAATTTATAACATTCCAAGAGACTGATATTTATTTAGTTAGTTAGGTTTTTTCTTTAGTTTTGGTTTTTGAGACAGGGTCTCACTATTGTAGTTCAGGCTGGGCTTGAAGTCACTGTGTAGCCCAAGCTGGCCTGAACTTACCATGATCCTCCTGCCTCAGCCTCCTGACTGCTGGGATTATAGGCAGGTGCCACCCTGCCCGGCAAGATTTTCCAAAAGGTCTGTTTTTCAGCAGACTCTCACAGTATCTCTCTTCCCAGTAATCGGTCCTCAGGTGTTTTACTAGGTGTTCTGTGCCAAGTCTTTCCCCTTCTCGTTTGCTTTTCAGTTTCTCAGCTGACTAAACAGCTCATGCTCCTGGAGTCGCAGAAAGAGACCCAGGAAAAGGAGCTGCTGGAAAACAAGGAGCTGCTGGAGAGTTTTCGTGCCAAATGCCAAGAACTCCAAGCAGACCTGGATGGCAGGATTACCATGGAAGTTCACACATCCATTGTAAATGAACTGAAAGGGTAAGGACCAGTCTTTCTGAACATCAATGAGCCAGTCTGCGTGTCACTATAGGCAGAGTGGACGAGGTTGCCCAGCTTTTGTTTTGTTTTGTCTGGAGACAGATCCTCGTGTATGTTGCCCAGGCTGGCCTCCAACTCCTGGGCTCAGGTGATCCTCCTGCCTCAGCCTCCCTAGTGCTGGGATTCCAGCCATGTGTCACCATGCTGGCTCACTCTCACGCTTTTTATTAGAATTATTCTTTATCACTGATTATAGAAATTCAATTAGGATGTGCCCTGGCATAGTTTCTTTATTCTGCTTGAGAGTCATTGAACTTCTTGTTGCTATGGATTTGTATCTTTTATCAAATTTGGAAGCATTTCAGGTATTCTTTAATACTCTTTTCTGGTGCCCCCCCAACTGTTTGCTGGTGTTCTGTGGACGTGTCCCTTGTTCATGCCACCCACTGCGTGTTTCTGTCCCGCTGAACGGTGTCTCCTCCTCTGTCCTCCTCTTCACCTCTTTTCTCCTGCAGACTGATCTGCTGTTGCCCTGTCAACATAGCAGTCGTCTCTCATGGTTTGTTTTGCCCTCTCTAGCAGGACGTCCAATGGAGGTTTTTTAAATTTTCTGTAGTTTCCATTTTTCTCTTTCTCTTTCTGTTTTTCTCTGCTCTTTTGAGCAGGTGGGGCACATTCATAATACCCGTTTAAACCCTCTGTCAAGCCCATCTTCTCTCTCACTTTCGGGTATGTGCTGTTGGTTTCATTTCTATTCTAATCATGGATCACATAATTATCATCACCATCATTATGTTTAAGTGGTAACCAAGGTTATTTGAAAAAGTAAAAGTGAAGAGTGAGGGGGAAACTGGCTCTGCAGAGTGAACTTGGGCCAGAAAGTAGAGAAAAAGTATGATGGAGGGCTAGGGCAGGTTATTGTAAGGAAAGCTGCATGGCCCAGATCACATTATTATTATCATTGCTTGAGTAGATGCTGCGTGGCGTAGATTTTATGTTGGATGCTCCGTGCTCAGCCACTCCCGACATCTACCCCTGTTCTGTTTTTGCAGTTGCAGTCAATAGGCGTTCAGTTGAAGCTGGAGGAGCTGTGTTTGGAGGACTCTGCAGACAATTTTCTTTCTTATGGTTATACTTTTTGTTGGATGTTGAGGACTAGGTTAAAGTGAGACCTGTATTAATTAAAATTAATTTCTTGGTATCTATGAAGGTCAGTTAAGTCTCTGGGCACCTCTTAATCCTTTTGTTGGTTTCAGCTGCCTGGATGAGTCCTGGCCTTTGCTTGACCAAATTGTGTTCTATGAAAGCTTGGGAGATTTTTCTCTCCTGGTGACTCTTCTTAGGCACAATATATACTGTTGATCACTTTCCTCTGTGGTCCCATAATCTCCTTGGTCAGAAGACCGGGAACTCACCGAGTTATAGGCTGTTGCAGCAGAGTTTCTCTTATGTCTTGGGTCCTCATTGACCTCTGAGGGCCTGGTCAAAATATTGGCTGTCTTTCTAGCCCATCTATTTTACTAATTTCTAGAAGATTAATGACATTGCATTATAATGGAGGCAGTGAACTGAATATTATTATCTTATCTGAATATCAAACACTTTAGAACATAAAATAGAACCATTAATTTCTAACAACTATGGATGTTCTAATATTTGAATCCCTGTGAAATGTTAACAAATAGTTACATATTTCACACAGAAAATTAGAAATCAAAAGCCATATACAATATTGCAGTGTGACAATCATGATGAATTTTGCAACACACTTAAATTTCCATTTTGACATAGCATAACCCTTTTATTGTCATCTCTATTTTTTTATTTTAAAGAGAAAAAAGTAGTAACAACATAACAACAACAAAGCCAAAAACAAAATAGCACAAAAACAATAAAAATGATACAGAGTTTCAAAACAAGATGATAGGAAATTAACAATGGTTGTTATATTATGTATTATTATCTTCAATGAAGTTACTCAGATTACCAGATGGAAAAATGCAATATTGATCAAACAATAAAGATAACAAAAGTAATTTAAAAACCATTAGAAATGATACAGAGCTTCACTAAATAAGATGGTAGAAATTCAACAGTGGTTGTTATATTACATATTGTTATCTTCTAATTAGTTGTCCAGATTACCAGATATATCAGCATGTAAAATTAGTCAAAAAATGTAAGCATTAACTGTTCCTTTTAATAAATCAATAGACATCAGCAGTAATTCATCTCTATCTAATACATAAGAAACTTTTAGCTAATTTGTTTCTTTAATGGGATGTACATCACATAAGCTTTTGTTAAAGGCAGATATCTGAATCTGAAAAAAGAATCTATCATCATAAACAGTCCTCATTCCACACTTCAGAAGATCCACACCTCTGCAGGCATGAATACATTCAATACACTACAAAAACAGTAACAGTCAATTGTCATAACCATATGAAAACCTTTGTACCACAGCATCTTTAAATCAAAAACCTTATTGTCTAGAAAACTTAATCCTTTGATGAATGAACAATGTGAACATATTACAATAACATACTTTAATAACATTTATTGGGGTATCACCCCTAAGGCCAGGGAGATCACTGGGGCTTCCAATTAATGAATAAAGGCTGGGATAATTTTTCCTAGGCAGCTGCTCCTTTATTCACCAACAGGAACCTTAACCAATTATTCTCCAAGCCTGAAAGGTCCCCTTAGTTACATTAACAAATTTCTGATGAACTCTGAGAAAACCAGTTTTGATATCATATTGACCGTCTGGCCACGCTGGTGGAAGCATGCTTTTAAATATATAACGCAAACTAAATTTTGAACAAATGATCCAAAAATGATGCAAAAGAAAAAGGAGAAAAGAGAAAAAATTCTTGAGCTCAAATAAAAAACAGCTGTTCATGGATATGACAAACAGACAAAAAACAAGTGCACAGCTTAACAGAGGGGATTAACAAACATCTTACAAAATCGGAGTGCAGTCAAATATGTTTTTGATCAAAAATTTTTTTTTGTCTTTTTGAGACAGGGTCTCACTATGCAATTCAGGCTGGCCTTGAGCTCACTTTGTAGTCCAGCCTGGCCTCGAACTCACAAGGATCCTCCTGCCTCAGCCTCCCAAGTGCTGGGATTACAGGCATGCACCATTTTTGATCAAGTTGAATTATAGTAACTCTTACAGTTTTAGAAATTTATAATTATAAATAGACTACTCAGATTGTCTTGTAGGTCAATTAACAGAGGTCTCTTACAAGAAGAATTTGAAAGTAACAAAATCTTTTACCTATAATTAATATATATATATTTTATCTTATCTTAAGAATGCTGGTAACTTTTGTGTCCTTTTCTTTTGTGTAACCTTTAGCTCAGTTATCTCTATATACTCTGTCACCTACTTAGACCTTTGATTCTTATTTTTGGTTAACATCTCCTAGACATCCTGGGTCAACTCCTTTAATTGGCCCAAGGTCAGGTTTGGCTATCTTTGAGGGTTGTGGCGTGGTCTCCAAGGTATCACTGTCATAGGCTACATCAGCTTCTTAAAAGGTGGAATCAACTTCTTCTCCAATCTGGGTCCATTATACAGCCAGACAGCATTCTCTGGCACTCAGATAGGCCATTTGGAATTCTCTGGAAAGACACAAGCATACCCTCTACCCCAAATGAGTAGTGGGCTGGGTCCCTTCCATTGTCCAATATGAAGATCTTTCCAAAGGACCCTTCCTAGCTTTTTTTCCTTTGCCTGATTGAATTATCTTTCTGCTGCTGCTGGAGTCCCATCCCTAGTAGGATTTTAAAACTTAATAGTATATAGTGCCAAGTGGAATCTATTATG